CCTGGCAGGAGGGTCCGAGCTGCTTGCTTTCTGATTCGTTTCAGATCTGACCGTCTTCGCTTGCTTCGCAGAGGAAGGCGCCCCTTCGGGAGGAAAAACTAATAGCTTCATAGTTTCTGTTTGAGTTTGTGGATGCCTGCAGCTAGAATTCTATGGCGATGCGGATGTTGATGATGTTGTGACCACAACAAATCTGCGCAGATCTACCAAAGTAATCTCAAGATTCGACATCATGAAAAGAGACGGCATTTCATGAGAAGTAATGCCACTTTCTTCTCGTCATTTCACAAAGCCACGTATTCGTTCGCCATAAACAAGACATGGCGCCAAATTCTGTCCCTCTCGTTCTCGTAGACAACTACAAACAAATACGATATACAGATGAACTCATGATGCACAACTCAGTCTGCCAATACATTCTCATCGTACGACGAGATCGATCTTCGAATCACTGATTCATTTTTCTCCGTCATTCCAAACGGACACTGTCACTGAAGGTCCATAATACACATCGATAATTCAAATGCATGCCGATGCTTGCATGCCGAGAAACATGAGCATACAGCATTATCACATCCTCAAAGGAGCAAGCAATAACCAGTGAAAATTACTTACACCATCCAATTCGTTATTTTGCGTGGGAAACAAACGGTGCGCAGTTACTTAGAAACATCCTCGTGTTCAACAGCATTCATTCTTCGCTTGTTCTCTCCATTGTTGTGAGTGTCCAAATCGCCACTCAGTGTCTTTTGTCGCGCTATCATTAGGTATATCTTCGCTATCTATATCTGTTCTGTTGCAACTGTATCACCAACAAAGACAACCAACGGAAATCAACATCATGTCCTCCGCCTCTACGTATCGCTATATATAAATATCGATATTCTTCATTTCTTCATGTATGAATGTAGAAGTAGACTATGGAAGACCAACTTCTGCAGAACACGTTGTAGTCTTTACAAGCTACAAATAGTTGCGCGCCTCTAAATGCCCTTTATCTTTACGCAGATATTTGTAGGAACTCCGGGGGTGAGGGTGCACGCCACTAGAATCCTGAGCCAAGCGCTTCTGCGACTGATTACTAGAATCCACGCGCCTTCGCCATGTTGAGCCTCCACTAGTTCCTGTATCTTCAAAATCCTTGTTCTGCTCGCTTCTTCTACTCTCCGGAAAGTCGTCCCCGGATATTGCAGCGTTCTGGCGAGCCCACTTCAGCCAGGCTTCCCAATAGGGCGACCCCGATTTTTCCAGGGTTGTACCATCAGCGAAAATCACGAGGGATTTTTTCGCACGTGTCAGCATTACATTCATTCGTCTCGGATCTGCTAAAAAGCCCACGCTTCCATGGGGATTGGATCTAGTGGCCGAAAAAAGGATCAAGTCATTCTCCATCCCTTGGAAACCATCAATCGTGTCGACTTCGATATTCATTAGAGCAGCTGTCCGGGTTTGCCATTCAGTGATTGTCCCTCTAGGGTTTCATGGGATTGCCCCTCTAGGCTGGTTTCACTGGTGTAGCACGATGTTGATCTCTACACTTGCTGCAGTACTATATATATCAGGGGAATAGACCATTTACTACTGTAATACTTTTCAAAGATGTTGATGTTGTTGTTGACCTTGTCAAAGATGAATTATCTGTAAGTAGTAGACTTAAGTTCAAGCGGTTAAGCGACCTGTCTCGGCGAAGCAAGTCTTCAATCTCCTGCTTATGCGCTAGATAAGGCGTTAAAATTCCAATTGATGCTGGTGTCTCAGCGTAGGCATTTTTGGGCGAAGCAACTTCCAGATTCCAAAATTAGCGCTGAAGGTCGTACTTAATTCATCTTGTTTTGTTGAACTCCCTCATAGTCCCAAAGGACTCCAAAAGGGAAACCGAGGCAAATGCTAATACGTCTTAGAGATCAAGATTTCCTGAAATATCCTGAGGCGCCTTAACTCAAGTATTCCACTAAACGAGCCGCTTCTTGCTCGTTGCAGGCTGAGGGGCCTCGTTTTGTCTCGTTTCCTTGCTGCTGTAAGGGTGCAACGTGGACCAATTCTACGTTACTCTTGGTAGCTCCAATCGATTGCAATTTATTGTCGTCTGTAGCGTTCAGAAGCCATCCATGATAAAAGGCTTGGCTCGGAAACTATGCAATCTGAGAATGCATGCGCCAATGCTCCACTAGCGTGACCGGCTCCACTCCCTCGTCTATAAGTCGCTCAAAGAGACTAACGCTAAGCGCCTCCTCATCGCAGAAAACTGTAGGTGGCAATTGCTTATGATCTCCCAGCATAACTACCTGCTTAACGTCTTTGCCTGCTCTCTGCAGTGCGACGAGCGCCGAGGGCTCCGTCACCTGACTTGCTTAGAGCATCTCCCACTTCGTAGCATCTGTAGGGATCCTGAATAGCCTGGTAGCATCTGTCAATATGGAAGGGATCCTGAATAGCCTGAGTAGCCTGAGTAGCATCTGTAAGAATGTGCCCGGTAGCTATCTGCTCCCTTGTATTGGGATGCCTACGCTTGCGGGCTCTCTACAGAGATGGATTAGGAAAAGCCTTAACTTGCTTCGTCGATGAAAACAAGATCGTAGCCGGGTCCATCGAGATGTCTCGCCCCCGCAGCAACGCAAGTACATACTAGCACCTGGGCTCTGGAGAGCTGTCGATCCATTGCAGTTCTGCGCGCCTGCATCAGTTCGTAGGGCCCCATGCGGTCGATCTCGTCATGAGACTGGCCATCTAAGAGCAAGACTAAATTCATCAGCTCCTCGCAGCCGCCGTCACCAGAGCGAATCATTCTCG